AGAGAAATTTTTCGCCAAGTATTTTTTAAATTTCAAGTTTTAAAATAAAATTTTTAACGCGTAAAAAGTGTGTTATAAATTAAGAAGGATTGTAAGAAATAAAATATTAAAATAGCGTAATATTTGAAAGACGAAACTTGAGGTAGAGAAACTTTCACTGTTCTTAGTAATTGTATCAATTTAGCAATTATACCAATTCCGCTGTCGAATGGCGCGAATTTCGCGCCGCAATATAAAACGAGGAAGAAAATCTATAAGATTCACGCTTTCAATTTATGCTTTAGATGATAATTGTGATTATATGTTTACTGCTACTATATTTATAATTGTAAAAGAAATAAACAATCGAAGAAATTATAATTAATTACGGGCTTTCCGAACGTATAAAAGATTTGTAAATAAAAACACATTTTTAATTATCAATACAGCAAATTGTCTCGAAGAAGACAATTTGGCTATACACATGTTTAAACTGTAAATTCATACTTATGTGTTACGTCGAAAAATGTGTGAAAAGATAATAGTATTAAGCAAATGAATAAACACTTAATATCCGAAATGTTATTTATTAAAGTACAAAAAATTAGCTTAAACTTACAATCAGATACTGAATATCTCAATCATGCGTAGATATTCTGAATAAGTTTTAAATTTCATGCGTTAGTGATTTTACTTGACTTCTATAATAGTAACATTTTATTCTATATATATGTATTTATTTATTGAATTTCACCTTCGTATTGTCCACAAATCATCTTTTTAAATCATAACGATTCTAACGCCGATACAGCTAACATCTTTAATTGTATCTTTGCTTTTTGAAATTTGATATGGAAACCTAGCTTTTAATTTTTGCAATATATTTCACGCTCCTGCCTTCAGGTCTTTATAACGCGTTAGCTGACATTATTTTTAAAATACTAATTGCCTACCCAAACGAGAACGGATTGAAATGAATTGAAATGGATTCAGATTTTCAGAAATATTGACTCACGAATGTTAAAATGAATGCTTTTCAATCCTGAATGCATTTTTATTCATTTATAAGAATTGCATGGAGCATATCTATGCTTTTCAATTTAAAAATAATATTAGCTTTTTCTGTGCATTTTTCTGTGAATACTGTTCAATTCAAAATTTTGAATAGGAAATGCAGTTTTTCAATCCAATTGCATCTAATTAAATCCAATTAAATCCAAAAAAAGTATTCGCTATTTAAAATATGCATTCGAATAGAAAAAAAAATTTCAATCCATTTTAATCCATTCTCGTTTGCTGGGTAATCTCACAGGCATCTGCCAATTTATAATCATCACCGGTTTTGGACCATGACAAAGATTCAGAATTATGCAGCTAAGTGAGGATTCTTCTGATACACAGGAGGGTGGAAACTCTTTCTTTTTTTCTTTTTTTTTCTTTTTTTTTGTTGGTTGAAACGTTCGAATGTAAAGCAAGTTAAAATACAACTTATCTACATATGTAATCAACGATTGTGCACTAAGTACCGCATCTCACTCTCATTTGCTTGAGTTTCCTACAGAAGTTTCATTTCGAGAGTGATTAGCATTTTTGTTAGTATTAAGTAAGTCGCAAAAAGAAAAAGAGAAAAGAATAGAAAGATGACGTTTGAATTTATAAAAATTTTACAAACAATGAGACACGTCGTTATTCAAATAAGAAAGTGCCGCACAACAATCAAAAAGTTAAATATTCTTGCGCGACGATGAGTCGTTTTCGAAATTGTATGAGGGAATACGAGATTGCACATGTATGCGAATAAGAAATTGATCGGATTGATTCTTGAAGCAGTGGTTAAAGAGAAAATCATTTTCCTCTATATCGTCGCGCCATTCGTTTCTTCCTTATCAAATTAATTCTGATAAAAGGCGACCAAGTAATCATACCGAGTAACTATTCCCTTCCCGTCGAGGTTTCCGCCAGTCACATTGTACGAGCAATCATATATCATTTAACGAATGTATTGTACAATTAGACGTTTTTAACGTCTAATACACACACACACACACACACACACACACACACACACACACACACACACACAGCATGTATGTATAACAAATATGTAACCATACATATGTTAAAACCGTCTACGTACGTTATTAGCATCTGTATCCAACATTTGTAATCTGTAATGACATCGAGATTGAAATAATTATGAATTTTGTTTATTATTATAGATATATGAATCTATAATTTAAATTTAATTTTGGAGCCTATTGAAGGATATCTGATGTTAAACATTTGAAAGTTGCTAAAAGGAATCGTATAGATTTTTTTATGACAAATTTCAAACTGTTTTATTATATTTCCTTGTGTATAGAGGCATATAAATCCGTAATTCATAAGATCTCTCTCTTTCCAAATTTTAAAGCAAAGTCCATTTACACAATCGCATGTATAAGGAATATAATATTTAATTCCTTGTATGTAAAAAAACATCGATCGTGTGCGTCCAGTTATTTGACAATAGGAATATTTTCTTCTCGCGTCTGTGTCTTGTAGAAAAAAAAATGGAATCATCAGTATTTTCAGAATACGTGAAATTTTCTTTTATTACAGGAGGAATGTAGAAAAAGAATAGCTGAATGCACAATGAATGGTGGTGGAAGCACGCCAGTGTGCGGAAGTGATGGAGTCACGTACTCCAATCAATGTCAAGTCATTTCTAAGCAATGTCAAGGCGTGTCTGTCCTCATCAAACACACTGGACCTTGTCCAGGTTTGTATCTCTGTTTCACGTCGTACGCACACAAGTTTGTATCTGTGAAAAATCTGTGGAATTTTTCTAGGGGTCGAAGTTACCCCTACCGTCTACGTTTTGCTTCTTTTTCAGCTGCTTTTCTCTCTCTCTCTCTCTCTCTCTCTCTCTCTCTTTCTCTCAAATTGCAGTAGATTCTCAGTTGCCTTAGACATCAAAATTAAAATTAAAAGAGTTTCTTGTTAAACATCTGTCGTGACTGATCACACATGTATAATAGATAAAAGTCAAGTTAAACAATGATGATGAGACTTTGCATAACTTTTATTCAGAGACTCCGGCGTGTTTCTCAGCAAGATTGACCGCTCGACATGGCGTACGGCCTGCCTGCCGAGATGATGGGACGTACGCGCCAGTTCAGTGTCACGCAGAGACCGAGTATTGTTGGTGTGTAACGCCGCAAGGCCGGCCGTTGCCCGACACAACGGTAAGATATAAAAAACCAAGATGTTTGAAAGCCGGTTCCAGATCTGCTGCTTCTACTAGGAGCAGTCAAAGGCGACGCTCACCGACTAGGAAACAACGTAGGCAGTATGTCAGCAATAGGCATCGAAATACCTGCGATCGTACCGAAAAGTCCAAATTCAATGGAAACCTCATCGAGAACTTCAAAATTGAATACAGACGGACTAATATATCCGCTGAGGGTAAGTCACACGAGCAATTGTTTTAAGAATACGATTAATCACGGTCTTTCGATAAATATGATTAATCCGATCAATTGGGGGAATCCTGAGAAACGAGTGTATAACTTTAAAAAATAATAATTCAAATTGTACGTAATATTATATAATCGTATGACCAAGTGTATTTTGCTTTCCTCTTGATAGATGATAAGAATGTTGAACGGGTGTTGTCGTGGAAATTTCTTAAGCTGGACCAGAACGCGGACGGCTACTTAGATAAGACAGAATACAAGGAGCTTAGAAGACTCGCCAAGAAGGCGGTGAGACCGAAGAAGTGCGCACGCACATTCGCTCGCACGTGCGACCTAAATCGGGATTTAAAACTATCCAAGCAGGAATGGGGTGCTTGTCTTGCCAATGATTTCACTCGTAAGTTACATACACATCATACATTCTTCTTTTAATTAAATCTTTAGTTTGTTGGACAATGGCTCAGCACAAAACACATTTTTAAAACGTTCAATTCGTCACGAAAGAACTAAGATGGAACCCGGCCAAGGTTCTTGTATCTAATTTTTTTGATATTTTTGGATATAGTTGCTTTCATATATTGGCTATATACTTATATATGTATATATATATTATATACAATTATGTATGTACATATAATATTATTATTTAAACATTGTATATACATACATATGTATTTCGTGTAAATGTTAAATATTGTTACAATTTTAATATTTAAATAAATAAATAAATAAATATTTGTATAACAAAAAATTTTTAAAAGCTAAAACTTAAAACATTAACTGTCCAAAAAGTACATGTTAAGGAAAGATGAATTTTTTAAATTTTTAAATAAAAATAATTCATATGTACACTTGTGATGAAGTTAAACAACTTCAAAAGAAACATATGGAAACATGAAAGATGTCTTTTCGAAAGATATAAAAGTAAAAAACAGATCAAGAATACAGCTAAACGTTTTTTTTTATTTTTGGTAGTCAAACTTGAGTAAGAATCTTGTTTAAAATATTTTTTGATGTAGTAAAATTTTCGAAAACCGAGAAAAATTTTAGCTATAACCTTTTGACTATTTTTTAAAACTGAAACTTAAAACTAATATAACGTATATACATCCATATATCTCTCTTAGATTTAATACTTTAATAACATATTTCAAGGAGAAAACAATCGACGCTGGACTTGGGTCATGTCCCTTGTTAGTTTCTGTATTCATGCTGCCTCATATCATTTATTGCTATGCCACTTACATAGATTTTTTTTTATTAGAAACCAAATTTTCATTTGTAGCGACTCTTTGACTTCCATAGACATAGACTAAAGGTTACGGCATACAAAAAAAAAGTAGTAAGCAAATCGACAAATCAAAATAGAGACATAAGACAATAATGTAAGTAGCAGTAAATCCAAAATATTGATTATTTACGCGTCTTATTGCTTAAATTTTTTTGTATGCCATAGCTTTTATATAGTCTGCTTCTGTTATTTAATTACTGCGAATACTAAAAATTTTTATAGTTCACGTTATGTACTCGCGTATACTATAGATTTTCAGTATTTCAGTGCAGTGAGAACGGAACGCAATAAAGTGGTTGAAAAAAGTAAATTCTCGCTTATACCATGGTATATATGTATATGCAGCATGATTAAAATATTTTGTTTCCAAATAGGATTCAAAATTGTGTAAAAAACTGATATTATACTTATAATTGTGTGGAACATTTTCTCAAAAATATGTAAGTGCATTAAAAATATTAGCATATATACATGTATATATTTATGTGTCTAAGATTCTGAAGCTTATTCAGTAGAGCCATTAATAAAGCTGGAATCAGACTACGTATGAAAATTGAGATTGAAGATTAAAAAATTGAAATTTAAGCAATCGAAACAAAAGGAGCTAAAATTTCTTTGTCTTTATTGATCAAATTTCAATCTGTAATCTTCAATCTCAATTTTCAGTGCGTAGTCTGCTATCGCAGTGCGATTCCAGCTTAAGTCGATTGTTAGTGAGAAGAATACTCTACTTTACAAATTGTTTTTAGTTAACATTCCTCTGTTAAAACTTTCACATTTAAACCTATTTTGATTTTACTAATTGGTTTTCGTGTCCTCTCCTCCTCCTCATTTTCTCCGATTATATTCGAGCAGTTCAGAGTGTGATAGAGAATTGAACATCGAAAAATCACATTTAGGAATAATTGAGATGTTATTCTCTTTTATATTCCGTTCTATACGTTTGATTTTGAAGATATCATGTGTATCAAGACTGATATGTATATGAAACATGTGGAAAAATATTTTATAGATAAGAATTTTATGGCACTTAGTTGAACCGAACAAAAGAGAAAGAAAGGATAATTCTCGTTATTTTTCTGATGAATGTAATCAGACGGAGGAGGAATGTCATTTCGGCATCTAAATCGCGGCTTAAATTAACGATGATACCGCCGTCTGCAACAGGATGTCACGCCGCCCGGTCAAGGACCATATGTATGTACTGTGTTGTGTCGACTAGCTTAACATTCGTGAATCCTGCCGGAAGTTGCCTACACAAATGCACGCGTGCGACCGGCTGCTAAGGAATTGAAGTAATTGACCTCATGTATGTACGAGCTAAATTCTCGCCCATGCGTCATGACGACAATGATTATTTGCTATTTATGACTGTCTAATATGTAACGTGTAAATCGCTGCATAAATTTCCCTATGTTATTTCTCGATGAGCTAGTCAAGTCGTAGCAAAGTCCGTTTGTAGCATTTAAATGAGTAAAATAAAAATGTCTAAAGAAAGAAATATATATTTACTTTATTCTGGCATATATATTGACATGAAATACTAAATATCTCGTAAAACTAGTCATTTTTTTACAATCGCATCTTAATACTTTTAATAACAATATAACGATAAAACAGGCAAATAAGAGTAGATCTTATTCTTTAAAATGTAAAAATGTATAAAAATGTATAAATGTAAATGTATAAAAATTATTAATAGGAGTTAAATACATATACATAATGAAAAACAGAGATATTATTACATGTTTCGACTCTTATAATGAGCCATCTTCAGATATTATTCTCTTCACATCGTACATCTTAGTTACCATCGTCAAAGAGATAAAAAACATGATGTAATGTGTTCCAATTTATGTAGCGATCTTGATGAATATTACATGGACTTCAGTTACTCACAAACGATTAGATGATCGATTGTTACGGAATTTTATGATGTTCTGATCAGAAAGACAGATTCGTTCACTAATAAATAGATAAATAATTTGATAAAATAAAATTCTTTCGAAAAATGTCTTTTTTATATTCTGTAAAAAGTAAGCAAACAATCATCATCTCGATGAAACACTCACCATCATGATCGCAGTTATTGTTTCGTATGATAAATACTTCGTCAAAAGCATTGTAAAAATGTATAGAATATAATGACAAATACTTCAGTCAGATAGTAATGATCTTCAGTCAGGTAGTAATGATAAATATACTTCACAGTCAGTATGAGAACGCAATTAATTTTATGCAAAGATCGAATCATTCAGAGATATTATTTGAACGTTATGTTAACGGCACGACAGACTGTCACTATCTGAGAAACGATTAATAGATTGACAAAACGATTCGATAAGAACAAAATCAAATTTTGTTTATAATAGATGTATACGCTTTGTGAAGACCCTCGGTGTCGGATCGGTTTGAAAATTGAGACTGTTTTTCTGCTTTTTGATATTTAACATCTCGGAAAAATTAAACATTTATTATAACACGATTCTTCATCTAATATCCAATATATGTTATTTCAGTTAAAATTATGTGCCATCTGCATTCTATGTTCGATGATTACAGGTAGATGTATTCCAATACGAATACGATTGCGGTGTTCTGCAATTCTGGTTTTAAGTTGTCTACCCGTTTGTCCGACATATAATGCATCACAATCGTTGCACATTGATTTTGTATACTACATTGTTCTTCGAAAGGTCTGGTTTAGAATCCTTTTGTACCTTAATAAATTTGCTCAATTTATTCAAACTATAATATGAGACTTTAATGTTTTCTCTATTAAACTTATTGAATTTATCGGTTATCGATGGAATAAATAATACAGTAAACACCATGTAGCAACATTTGATTCCTAATTTTTATTATTACAATCATGTACCGCTGCTCCTCCACGCTGTATGTTTCTAATTCTATCATTGATTGCATCAGAAATGAATCTTATGGGATAATCATTCTCAATAAGTATATTAATTATTGATGTAAGATCTTTTTGGTAAAATTTCGAGTCAGACAATAGTCAAGCTCTGTCCAAACTAAAAATTATCCTTCTTTTCTTATGTAAAAAAAGGGAGACAGGAAGATTCGAAAAATAGTTTAAAAACCTCCCCGAAAACGTCGGTTTTTGATACCAATCAAAGATTAACTGTTTTCCTTTGACCATAATCGTTACGTCAAGAAAGTTTAATAAAACTGAGTCTATTTCTAACGTGAATTATAGGCGCGAGTGAAAAGAATTAAAACAATCAAAGAACAAATTAATTTCAGATGAAAAAACGGCAGCAAATAGATCATCAACGTACCGATAATAGAAAAGAAATTGACTATTAGATAACAATGACGTTTTCTCTAATTTTTGCATTAATAGGTCTGCAATGAGCGACAACGGAGATCCCATGGGCCGAAATTCTATTTATAAATAGTATTATCGAATATAAAATATATTGAATCTAAAATGAATCGAGCTCTGCCATCAGGAACTCTATCTTAGGTAGGTCACATTTTTTGGAGATGAAATTCCAATTTTCATTTATACAATCGATAGCCATGCCTATTGGAATATTTTTTGGTAAAGAGGGATACAACATCTAGTGAGATTAATTCGAAATTATCATCCATTCTTATTCCTTTTAGATTTTTAACTAATTGAAAGCTATTTTTTATGTAATTATTAGCTTTGAGAATGGTTTCGAACATGATGTTGTGAAGATATAAGGCTAATGAATATAACGGACTACCTATTGACGATATAATGATTCTAAAAGGACAATTCGGTTTATGAATCTTTGGCACCATATAAATCCTCGGCAGCGTCCCATCACTACAGTATACATAAAGCTCAATTCAGATGGTTGTACACATCTATTATAAACCAAATTTGACTTTGTTTCTATCGAATCGTATTGTTAATCTATTAGTTCCTCAGATAGTGACTTGTCGTGCCGTACCGTTAATATACGAGTAACGTAATAATAATAATATCTCTGAATGATTCGATCTTTGCATAAAATTAATTTCGTTCTCATACTAACTATGAAATATATTTATCACCACTATCTGACGTATGTCATACTTACGTATTTGTCGTTATATTCTATACATTTTTACATAATGATTTTGACGAAGTATTTATCATACGAAACAATAACTGCGATCATGATGGTGTTTCATCGAGATGATGATTGTTTGCTTACTTTTTACAGAATATAAAAAAGACATTTTTTGAAAGAATTTTATTTTATCAAATTATTTATCTATTTACTGGTGAACGAATTTGTCTTTCTAATCAGAACATCATGAAATTCCGTAACAATCGATCATCTAATTGTTTGTGAGTATCTGACGTCTTCTATATAACATTCATCAAGATCGCTACATAAATTGGAACACATTACATCATGTTTTTTATCTCTTTGACGATGGTAACTAATGTAAGATGTGAAGAGGATAATATCTGAAGATGGCTCAATATAACAGCCGAAACATATAATAATATCTCTGTTTTCTATTATCTATTTAACTCCTATTAATAATTTTTATACGTTTACATTTTAAAGAATTGGCTCTTATTTGCCTGTCTTATCATTATATTGTTATTGAATTTTTAAGAATTCTTGACTGTTTTATATTAATATTTTTATGAATAGAATAATGAGATTAATTGATCATCAATCAATTGATGTAAAAAAAATACATACAAAGTTGCTTAAAAAAAAATATGTAAGCAAAATAGATAATTTTTCAAATAAGCAACTGTTTTTTTTATTTATTAAAGCTCCTGACTACTCAGCCAAGAACTCTGTGTTGACGGTAGCGACTCAGAATCATACGGCGGTCTGACGAAATCGGTAGCCATACATTCAAGCAGTGCATTAATTCGCTGGGTCATAGTAGCGGCCCGACTTATCGAAAATAAGAAAGTGCAGTACTAAAAAATAAAAAATTCTGAAAAAATTCTTAAAGTTCTATGAGAAGAAAATAAATGATTTTTGTCTCTTGCAGTTTTTTTGTTGATAGTATTGAGTAAAAAATAAACGTCGATAAGTAAGGCCGGTACTATGGCCCAGCGAATTAATGCACTGCAGTGTACATACATGAGCTCTTGTTTGTATGTGTGTTACAGCGCCGCACCACGATAAATGACTGAGCTTGTAGGCGTGGAAAAGTGACGTTTTGACGACAAAATTTAGGCGTTGCACGCCATTTTGTTATTATTTGCTTAATTGTGAAAATGTGACTTGTTTCGTATTTATCAAAGTCGTAATTATCGATGAAAACCAAAGTTATCTTGGAATTATATATGTAAAAGCATATATTTTACTCGGTTCTACAGCTGTCAGACCGTGTTTCTGCCCGAATATAGGCTCACTTACGTGCCTTTTATGACCATTTACTGACTGTCAAGGGAGGAAAGGACAGTTTTCATCGATTTTTACAAGTGTTTTAAAGCGATCTCATCATTTCGTTTCATCCAAATTGTCTTTATTTAAAAATGACATACGATATAAATTAACGTGTCATTTCTCGCTTCTGACGTCACGATTCCAATATAGCTGGCGCGACTAGTCAGGAGTCTTAATTCCTTTTATTAATATTCTGTTTATAAAAGTATTGAAGTATGGTTTGTGAAAAAATAATGGTGTACGAGATACTTAATATTTCATGTTAATATGTGCCGGCCAGAATAAAATATCTCGTGAACTATATTGATTTTTTGACATCTCTATCTTGATATGCCTTTCATATGCAGAATTATTAGAGGAATCATATTATATAAAAAAAAATCATGTAATTGGCCATTTAAAAAAATGAAAATAACATCTTTCACATCTTTTTGATACCTACACTTAGAAAAAAAAACAATGTGATCAGAATCCCTCGAAAAACCGTTTTACTTTCATTTAAAATATTCTTTCGTATTATCAAAAATAAGTGAGATATTCAAGATGTTCAATTTAAGTGGACCATCTTGTATATGTATAGGTAAGGTACTGGTCGATAATGAGTGATACGATCACTATCGTTTACGTTTGTTTTTTTTTTATCACTGAATCTCGCAGACGAGCGTACCGATTGGTCCTTGAGATCAAAGGATACGGACTAAAGTGAGTTCGTAGTTTTTACTTCGAAAGCATCGAAAGCACTGCACATACTTCTTTCTTCGAAAAAACCTATTTCTAATAACGACTTTTCAAAGTTCAACTTTATTAAAACTTCTTAAAACTTCATTTTTAATAACGATTTTTAATTAAACGATTTTTTTTTAGAAGTTTTTTTTAAATATGAATTAAGACTAATACAAATACTATTTATATCACATATAATTTATGATATTTATATCAATATTTATATAACGCGCACCTCGATCAGTATATTTATGCATATTTTTACCTCCATTGTTATTAATTGAATACTTATTTTATATTGAAAGTAATTATATTTATTACCAAATATAATATATTATAATATTTAATAATAAACGACGACTTTCCTCAATGTGCCGTATAATATTTAAAAGAGTATAAA